ACATGCATAAATAAAAATGAGTGGTACCAGGTAATTATCACAGCAGTTGTGATATCCTTACACAGCACCTCAACAAATCAAGGGAAGATTTTGCCTTTTGGAGACAGAACATGAAGTGAGGGATAAGAAAATTGCCTCTATAATGCTGCCACAGGGATGCCTCTCAAATCATTTTATCAGCAAAAAAAAAGGAAGCCATGTCTGCTGGTACCAGCTAAAGATCAGGTTCTAATTTTAGCAGTTGCAGTTAACTCATTCCCAATGGAGTTGCACTTACCGTGAGAAGGTTTCTAACTGCTTCAGCACTGAAAGGAAACAAGCATTGAGTCATTCAACTGCAGATCTATATGCAAATATGCTTTTTGGCCCATGAAGGGAAAGCACATAGAATCCGCTGCCATAGCGCAGGCAGCCAAACATTTCCACACATTTCTTATAATGCAAATGCTGAAAAAAAAATTAATTCATTTACCAGCCAGTGTTTTAGCTGTCCCTACACAAGTGTGATCACTGGCATGCACATGCACTCTGTTAGGGACAGAACCTGGGTATAGGAAATAGAGGCACACTGCATACCTAGCATTGGTGAGAAAAGTTTTCATCAACAGACATATTCCCCTTGACATTGAATGGTTCAACAGTAATATTATTAATTTGACTCAAAGGTTATGTTTATATCATATATAACTCAAGCTATATTAAGCCAATATATTACATTTTACTAAGGTTCTGAAGACCATAATGATCAATTTTTTCAATTATTAACTCCCAGAACAGCAATTCTGTATAAAGAATTTAGTTCCTCACCATATGGTAATTTTCTCTGTTGACCTCTATTGGGCCTACAATAGAATCCACATCACCCAAAAAAATTCCTTATAGCAAAGCTGATTTAGTACAAAGAAATGAATAAAATACTTTTTAATTAGGAGACTTGTGGCTTATCCTAAAGCATGCACCTAGTGCTAGAAGAATCCAAGAAACTATCTAAAGATATTTAAAAAAAAGTAAGGGTACTCTTCTGGTGAGCAGTGATAAGCATGAAGCTCTTTAAAGAATGACTTTTTCTATGAATTGTGTAAACAGATTTGCACTTCAGAATAAAATCTTGAGCAAGTTATTTTACAGTAGGGAATAGGAATTTCTTTTTCATTTGAAAAGGATACAAATAAAGAAAAATATAAAAATATTAAATCCCGTAAAGGTCAATAAAATTACCATGTAATATCAAAAGGTAAGTGTTCTCAAACTGCCATGTGGTTTTCTGCCTGATTAATCCCTGCTATGAGCCTGTCTGATCAGGGGCAGGGAAATCCCATGGGAGCTGGTCTCACACAGGCATCAGGGAGGGTGTGGAATGAAGAGTGCAGGTTGTCACCAGAGATGAAACAGCAGAACTGGGGCCCTCTGTATTCATTGGCAAAATTCACTGAGCACGCAGACAGTAGTCAGAAGGACATCCACGTACAGACATAACAAAACTCATGAGGGTGATCCCTTCAAGGCTCTAACATGCAGACAGATGGAAAAACCCTGTCTGTCCCCCAGAGTGGCCATGGGCTGCAAGGACTGGGGCTCAGCACTGTGTTAGTGTGCAGCCAGCTCTGCAGGGGCATCGGGCTGGGAAGGAGGGAAACATAAATGGGAATTCTGCTGCTTTTTCTCCCCAGATGTGCAGAAACTGATAAACAGTGGGGAAGGAAATGGCTTTCAAATAGCTACAGCTTAAAATCAAAGCTGGAATGTATGAGGATGTACATTACAGCTGATATAAAATACACTCCTGTTCTACTCAGAGGGGCAGATTAGCACCAAAAATATGTTCAGCTTCAGATGTAAACTCCAGTCCTTGTGTTTTCATGATACACAAGCTCACATTAATTTTTAAGAATACTTGCAGGCATTGTTGAACTGTGGCTGAGTGTAGAGAGAAGGGCACTGCCCTAAAATTCTAGGGTAACTCCAAGGGTTACCATGGAAAGCTTAGATGATATATAATTCCCATAATTATTTTCACTGCTCTTAATATTTCACATCCATTGGTACAAATATCTCAAATATTTGAGCAGTTAGATACAAAAGAGCTATACAGAAATAATACTGCTGCTTAAATTCAGAGAGGAAAGGGTGATTATTAAAATTAATATTAATAAGATTTCTTCTGAAATTGAGTGATAAATAAATATTTAATAAATAGATAAATAAATAGATATAAATATATAATAGATATTTACCTTATATATATATTATAGATAATGATGGTATAATAATAATATTTATAGATAACAATAGATATTTACCTTATCTATTGATAAATAATAAAATTGAGAATTCTCATGTGCATCTTGGGTTTGATTAGCATCAAATAGACTGGTACTGCCTGTTTTAGTCTAGGAGCAATATTATTACTCTTTTTTTTTTCCTTCACAAGTATCAACAGTCTATTATTGGCTTTTTAAGCTAAATTTCTGTGAAAATTTACCCTCTAGACTCCCTGCTTGATATTTTATGGAAATGTGCATCTTAAGCATTAATTCACTAGACCAAAAAAAATATTTTAGGACAGAGAAATGAAAATTGTTGTGGACTGTTGCAAACGATACTAATAAATATTTCCTTTTTGCAGGCTTCAATTACACTGAAAAATATTTTTCCTTTTTCTGTAATTAGCATGTGTCTCTCTCATATGTATTTTTATGAACAAATTCACATGATAAAACAGACTGGATCCTGATGGAGCACAAAAAAGTTCCCTAAAGAACCAGTTGTGACCTTCAATGGGGTGATTATTTCTGACCAGAGTGTTCAGAATATATTTAGAACCTAATGGCTGCTCCCTAGCAACTTATTCTTATTTGTTGCTTTTTTTGTGGGGTTTCTTTTTCATTCTGTGTCAGGACAAGGTAAACTTTGTGCTGCTTTTTCAAACATCTCCTCCCTGGTCATCTCTTCCCATTGTAATTATATTGCATCCAACTTTGTCCAGGCAGTGCTGAGCTGTGATCTCCTATCACAGGACAGGCTGCCTGGCAGGGACTGCTGTCTGTCTCCAGCTGCCCTCAAAGAACAGAGCATTTAATTGTTCTCTTGGACATTGGGACATTCCTAGCAGCAGAACCAGGCAGAGCTTTCCACTTGGAGCTCTGAAAGCTGGAGACTTGCAGAGCCCAGAGGAGAACAAGCTACCCCAGATCTAAATAATCTCTGAGTAAAGGTGAAAGGAATAAAAGGAAAGAATTAGAAAGGAGACACATGTGAGGGAAGGAGTCAATGGAGATGGTATGAGGACAGAAAAGCGCCAAAAAATAAAAGAAAAAATGGAAAACCTCTGTGAAAGACAAGGAACAAATGTCATGTGAAATAGTTTCAAAGGCTAAAAAGCATTTGCTGCTGTGCTGCTCCTGCACCTGCCAGAGTGATGCAACAGCACATGTCCAGGCACCTCTTTGTTTCAGGAGTGTCAGTGAGGTCCAACTTCCCTCTCTTCCCCATACCAGGAGGTTTCAAGTGTTACTTTAAACTGTTCTTTATTTGGAGAAGAGGAGCAGACACAGACCCCTGAGCACTAACTGAGGACAAACCTTGTTTGTGCCCACCCTGGCTGCAGAGCCAGAACCAGCTCTGCTTTCTCCCTGGTCTGGGCATGGGGCCTGCAGCCCTGGGAGTGGGGAGGGGGATTTCTTAGGATGAGAACAAGCAGAGCTATCACAGGTGAGTGATTTGCAAAGCCAGGACTCATCCCACTACACTTCAACCACCTGCATTTTAAATGTCTAGTCCAGGAAAGTTGTCTGGGCTGCCTCCCAGTTCAGTGGAGACATCACTGCCTATGTAAGACTCTTCTCATCCTTCGACAGGCCCTTCTCAATATAACTGGGAAAAAATTAAATTGAAAATTCCAGAACTTCAAAAGGTAATCAGTCCCACTTTCAGGATCCAATTGCTAGGGATTAGTCTGATATTACTAAAGTCTTTGTATCAAACATCTCAAAATGCTATCAATCTGGGCTGGAATCAGAAGCCTAAGAACTCATCAGCTCAGCAGCCTCTTACCACTCTCTCTGAATTGTTCCTCATAAAAAAATCCAAAAAGTGCCATAATGAACTATGTTGAAATAGCCATCAGATTATCATGTGCTAATGTTAAGTTTCCTAGCTGAATCTGCCATTAATGGGATTAAATGTGCATATTTTCCATGTTTATCTCTATATTTCCATACGTTCTTTCTCTTCCCTCTTTTTATTATTTACATTTTTCTTCAACTACCAGATTTTCTAGGCTTGTGAAATAATCACAGAAGTGAGGAACAGTCTGATGTTACTTGCTGTAATTAAGCAAGATATTAAAGGTTTTTAAATAACAGGCCCTTTAAAAAAAAAAAAAAAAACAAAAAAACAGACTAACTTCTTGTCTTAGTCTGAATTAAATCAAGGAAGGGCCAGAGAGGGGAAGACAAGAACAGAATAGAGGAACCTTCAGAAAAATAGTGACTCTTCCATGATATCAAGCACTTTTGGGGAAAGGAAAAGCTTGTTAAATTTTACCAATTAATCTGTAAATGAAAGGTTGAAGGAGATTATCATCTCAGTTGCTTTTAAAGGAAATCAACTTCTAGCCTGGAAAAGATGCTATCAGCTGTATATTTCTCTGCTGTACACTATTTTTCAGGTTCTGCAAATTTCTGAGGATAACCTACACTGTAGATGCATTTATATTTTGCTGGATGGTCAGAGGTGCCCTAAACCTCATTGTATACGAACTAAAATTAGTGAAATTTAAAAGTTCTAATCTTTGCCACAAAGAAGTAGCACTAAGTGTTATTAATGAAATGCTGATAATATTAGTAGATAGGAAATGCAAAGTTTGGCATGGGTCAAGCATGGCTCTTTGCTGTAATGCAACCTCAGATAATAATGTCAGAAACTGTGGTTGAAATAGTGGATCAGTAACACGTATGCAGTGAAGCCTCATTCCCTGCTAAGATTTCATGTTTTCTTACCTGGTCTCTTCTGTAGCTATAAAGAAACCCTCATCTGAAGCATCAAGCCAGTTTTGCCTCTGTCTCTTGATCACTGGAATGGTGCTGGTCTTAATGGCACTTGCACTGGCTTGCAAGGCCTTCCCATTAGTCATGTGGATGTGGGGAGCGGCATGCTGAAATCACAATAAAAGGGAAAGGTGTTTGTCTGAGAATAAGCATAATTCCATTAACGAATTCTGCTGCAAAGGGCAGCCTAAACACCTCTCAAAACCCAGCTCATCTGCCTCAATCACTACCTGGGGGCAAGATAACAACTTACCTGCGCCCATTGACATGTTGTATGCATAGGTTTTAAGGCTGTTTAAAAACTGAATTAACTATTGCTAATGCCATTTTATACAAAAAGATATTGAGGCATGAGTCGATGCTATGAACCAAGCAATTCAGAAACAGAAACCCATTGATTTTAGGAGAGAATTAACATTTTATGAACAAAAAAACCTAACCTCCCAAGCAATGAGACGCAAGACCTATTTTTTCATCCAACTATGGCACTAAACTAATTTCAAAAAAAGGCATACTTCTCACTTTGCAGGTCCTTACTCTGCCTGTTTTTGTTTTTAAGTAGAAGTCGCTGAATAAGATAAGTGGTTTGGTCCTGCTGCTAACCTGAATGGAAGCAGGAAAACAAAGGTTTATATCACCATGTTGATGCCATGGTTCTTAGGTTTACTCACTGGTCTTTGTCAAGTTAGAGCTACCTGCAATACATCTACATTCATTTCACAGCTGATAACATCAAACTGAAAATGATGCATTGATTTTCCTCTCAACCTTTCCCCAGAGTAATTGTGCAATGAGAGCAAGTACTCAGATCTAACAAGAGAAGCTGCCTTCTTACACATGACGAGAGAGTGGAAATGTTTTCTGTATCATCTGTAGCTAATGTTTTGGAAGAATACACCATGACAAAAACGTGAATCTTGGAAATCTTAATCTTGTTTCCCACATAATCGATTAGCAGCAGGACTAACAACAATTGGACAGAACCAGTTATGATAGAAGACATTACACAAAGATGAAAAATTGCTTACTTTAACTCACATGGATTCAACATCATGTTTTCTTAGGAAGAAGTACTATTTTCTTGGTGAAATAACACCAGTATTCCACATTACTAATAGCATTCTGTAACATTCCTCAAGTGCACCCAGTGCTGCACATTCGTGGGAGTAGCCCCTAATTAGGGGACCAACATCACACTCATGAGTAAGGAAGGGGCTTGTAGCACCCACAAAACCAGCAGAACAGAGCAAAGAACTGATCTCTTAAATCATGTAATAAAAACATAAAAGCCAGAAAATATAAACAAGAGCATAATTTTTTCTGAACAATTCTTACACCCACATTCAAAGCATTATATTCACATAATGACAAAACCCTGATCCACACCATTTGTTCTCTCCACTAGGACAAATTTTATGCATTGGACAGAAAATTTCCATCTATCCATTATGTTATTCTGAGTAACTGAGCCATCTCTGTGATTCCTTAGATCTCATGTAACAAAACCAAACAAGAAGAGCAGAAACAAGACATCATATTTGAGTGAGTCACATATAAATCTTTCTTAGACCTAAACTATTTTCCTTTGTCTTAAAAACAAAGAAGATTTAGGGTGAATTTAATTGTTGCACATAGGATCATTAATCTATCTTTGTAGCCCTTTAAAAATATTTACTTTTTTCCATTTTTTCAATCAGTGTCTAGACTGCAGTTTGGCTTTCACATATTTTTTCATATTGGCTCTGATGGGGAAAAATACCTAAAAGACATTCTACAAGAAGTAATTCAGCTGTTATTTAGAATAAATTCAGGATAAAGTACATAGCTGCTATGAAATTAGAAATTCATGAAAGTTTCTGACTGCTGATCTCTTCTTGTACACAGTGGGTGGTGCTCAAAAAGAGAGTAAGGAGTCATGCATGGAAAAAATTGCCACACATCAGATTTTCCATTCAATATTTGTATCTGCAATTTCCTGTGCCACACATTACAGAGGAGCATTCAAGGGCTCCAATGGTACATTTTTGTTGTGCTTCCCTACTCAATAATGGGTTTAAGGTATCTCATGTAAAGATTCAGATCTTCTCCCAGGCTCCTTTCTAGTACACCATTGAATGTTTCCTTTAGTCAAGATAAGAAATGCAGGCAAAAAACATTCAGAAAATGTACAAGGTACAAAAAGTGTCTTTCCTGCGGCATAAACTCTGAAAAACAGTAAAGCCTGATGGAAAAAGTATTTGTCTTTTCACAACACGTTTTCCCCTAGCAGAGCCAGATATTGCAACTAATTCTGAACTTCTGTTTCTTTCTACTTTTATTAGCCCCCAGCCCTCATTCTGGGCAAGAGATAACATTATAGAAAACGTCACAAGGCTTACAATATCATCTCATTTCTGTTGCACCAAATTGGTTAGAATTTTCTCTTTTATTTCCTTTCAACCCCAGCCCTTTCAAGCTATTTGAAGAAATTAATTACATTTCACAGAAGGACAAGAGAAAATAAGACCATTGTTTTCCAGTCTGTGCTAGGGACCACATTAATTTCAAGTTAATAAAAACAATTGAAGCTCTTGACCAGGAAATCAGTTCATTAGTTCCTCTCAACAATATATTCACCAACGCATAGGAAAATGAGCATTCAATGGCACTGTCACACTAATATCAACACCAAGAGCAAAATGAACTTTCATACAAAGTGCTCATTAAATGTTTTGCTTTTATGATGATGATGAACTCAAATTTCCCTCCTAGAACACAGTTATGCCAGAAAAGTTATGAAAGCCTCAAGAACACTCCCTGTGCTACCACAGAAGTCCTTCTCATTTACAACTGCTTGCAAAAAGCTTCTGTAATTTCCTCAGAACACCACCGTGTGCAATCAGCTGCTCTGCTTTGATTCTGACTCTGTACATCACTAACGAGCTGCCCTCTGAGTTTGCAACACAGCCCCTGGTGTTAAGGGTCTGCATGCCAGGGCCACATCAGAGCAGCACCTGAGCATCAAGAGTTTGTATTGTGGGCAAATCTTCCTCTGGGATGAGTGATTCCTTTCTCCCAAGTTCTTCACCTCAGTCTGAGCACATTCACTGAGATCTCTTGTTCCTCTGTGACAAAACTGTTCCACACTCAAAAGGAGAAAAAACTTTGAGAGCACTCAGAAGAAAAACTTCTGAAGACAAAGGGATTTCTGATTCAGGCCAACTTACATCCCTTAAAGAACACAAATATTTCAGTGATCAGGGGGTTATCTCTGGGGAGAGTCTCACCTGTCAAACAGGTGGTGTCCAAGCTGCACAGTCAGTGCACCCTCAGAGACCAAAGGCAATCCTTCCAAGGTCTTCAACAAGGAGGACTTTACATAAAGGCTGGTTGTTGTGCAGCTCCACCTGCCCCTTGCTGATCCATTCTCTGCTGCTTGCAAGTGCTGCTCATCAAAACTCACCTGGCAAGGGCGTGAATTTCCCATCTGCACACAGTGGACAACCGAGACACCTCCAACTTGCAAGGAATGCAGGTGATCCCTTCACAAAGAAGCTACATGTCTTTGTCCCTGTCAAATCTTCTGGGAGCAGCAGTGCTGAGTTACAACTGCAAATCAGGTCTTTCAACAAAAGCTACACCTGGCATAAGGCTTTGCTGTGGCAGGGAAACCAAGGAAATGACTGCATAGGATCACTGTACCCATGATATCTGCTCTAGTGGCAACTGTGAGTCCAATGAAGTCTGGATACTATCCCAAAAACACCTTAAATTAAAGTGGCAACTCAATATAGCATTTTTATTATCAAGAGTACATCTCCTCTCCTCACTGGCTCCCAGAGAAGTACAAGGACACTGAGATGCATAATGGTAAGACAAGAGACGAATCCTATACAAATTCAGAAATGGGCCCCAGATCCTAAATTCTAGCCAAGGTTCCTGCCTATAAGTTGCCCAGTTTTTTATATTGCTATATAAGTGGTCAAAAATTTATTCATTGAGAGCCACTAAAAATTCTGAAAAGATACTCAGGTCTGAAAAGACATTCAACTTTGAAATAAATACATAACACTCAGTAATTCAAAGAGTAAAAATTAACAGTGAACCTTTGTACAATGGCTGAAGGAATGTTTAACTAGACTACCATAAATTCCTAAGTGGATTTCTATTTATGATTTCTTATTTTTCCCCCATTATTTCTAAAAGGAAAACATTCCCTTTGCCTTAAATTAACATTTTAGGGTATTTTTGTTGTATCTTTAAACAAAACAAAACAAAAATCAATTGAAAGCAAGCAGAGCAAAAGATGCTCTCTACAAGGAGAAAGAAATCACTAGAATAAATCAGCTATGCTCAGATGACTGGAAATAATCCATATTAATTGGTTCCATATATTTTGCATTGACCTAATTATACAATACATCATTTAAAACAAGTTTAGAATTACCTTAAGTTTAATCAGGTATTGATTCTCTTTTGCCACACCTGAGGTATTCCTATTTCCAAAGGGATTAGCATTATACCTTTAATAAGCATCAAGGGTTGGAGCTGGTTCACTTATTCATAGAAGTGTGAGATGAATGCAAAAATTAATACCCAAAATCTCTACACAGCATGAAGTTGCAAATGTTGATAATAGTATGCAGGCACACAACCACTTTGGGTATAGAATTTCATTAAAAAACCCAAGGGCTATTAAAAATGAAAGATGTTCAAACAACAGATCATATACAAGAAAATAAGCAAGTACTCAACACAAGTACAACTTCGGAACCTCTGGATTTGCTGCCAAACCTTTCACGAACACCTACAATAGTTGTAATGCTGAAAATTTTGTGTTTTATGTGAAAATGCTGAAAATGTAAAGCTGCAATCACTTTTCTGTGCAAGGGAAACAAGCCCACCAAAAAACCCCGAAAGAAACAAAGATGGCTCCTAAAAGATGACAGCTGACTTGCCAAAGCCTCTGGGCCAAAGTACTGTTGATAGTCCCTGTTTGTCATATATGGCACACAAAACCTATATAACCTCTGAATACATCATGTCATAGAAGGTATAATTTTGAAGTAAACAGTTATTTATGGAAATCAGTAAATTAGTAATGAAAGATTAAGCTAGGCAACTATGCATAGAATAAAAGGAAATTTATTTTATAGTTAAAAGAGAGCATGCTCTCCCTCTCCCCTCATCACACAAATGCTTAAAATATTTTCTGGGTTTTTATTTTTATGAACAAGTATCTGAAACAAAAAACAGGCAACTATCATTGTATTTAAATACAGAAGAAAAATTCTTGTAATGTCCTCAGAAAAACTGGACTTTGTTTTTTTAGCAGAGCACACTCTATACCTTGCTGGCTATGACTTCAGCAATAATCTGAATCTTCAAGGAACAAGATCAGATTTTTAATGCCTTACATTATTTCAACACCTATAAAAGCAACTTTAAAGAAGTGCAAAAACTTCACCTTAGTAAGACAAAAGTTCTTTTACATCAAAGCAGCCAAGGCAGTAACACAAATTTGCTGTGGTACCTCTCACGTTCTCATGACTACCGGTCATGCTTTAACTTTTTATGCTACAATATAACTGTAATCAGTCAGAAAGAGAGGACTTCAGAGTAAGTATTTGTTACAGTAGCATTTTACATTGGCGCTCAGCAGCACTGCTTTACTACATCTGTATCAGATGTATCATCTCATACTGTTTCTAATGCAAGGAATACCATATTTCCTGGTTTTCCTGCCAGTTTCTATTTACTCACTGGGGAGTAAGAAATTTTCTTTTGCACATTCAGTTATGCTTTAGATGCAGAGTAGAGCAGACATTGCTGTAACAATTTCTCACTAAGAAGAATAGTTACCTTTATTTCTACCTTTATTTATTTAAGTGCAATGAACAATTACTGCATGCTGACTGCAGAATATTCACTTGAGGTCTGAGCCATCTGAGCTGTCAGCAGAGAGGTCTGGAGAGGTTTAGAACACAGGAACCTCAAAAACTCATGTTATTTAAAAACCTTTTTCTTCTCTCTTTAAAAGTTAGGACATGTTTTGGTGTGAGAGAAAAAATATATAGGAAAACTCCACATTCTTTTGGCTCAGATTTTAGAACAGTTCTGATATATTAATAGAAAAGAGAGACTGAGTATCTCCAGAGTACAATTAATAGGACAAAAAAGAGTAAAGGTAAAGCAGAGTCAAGGGTTCACCAGCTTCAACACAATTGTCCTGTTCTTTTTCCCAAACCAATGCAGTATGGAAAAAACATTGAAAACTTTTTCAATCCCTTCCAAAATTTTATAGCAGAGGAATACACTTGAATAACTAAATATCTTCTTTTGAAATGGGTGTACTTAAAACAAATTCATGACCAAGAAGGATTACATCACATCCAGCAGGAAACAGAAACAGCACTTTTCCAGACATCTCTACTGTTTTGAAATCTGTTGTGCTCTGTAGTCCTTACCTATTTATAATTCATTTGCACTGGATTATTAATGTCCATTGATGACAAAGGCAATGAACTACATTAACCCTTTTTCCCCTGCAGAATGAAGAAATCCATGGGGGAATTTACCTGTCCCATAAATGCCATACATAAAGAAGATATAAACTTGAAGGGACGCCCTAAAAACTGTAGGAATGGAAATAAACAAGCTCATGTCATGATTTGCTGAGCCTTATTCTAAAATTTCAACATTCCTCTCAAAAACTGATATTTTTCAAAAGCAGAAAGCCCTCTCCTCAAACACCCACAGGACAGGCATCAATCATAAGAGATTGAGAAAAGTTTTCTCTATGAGAATTGCTGCTCAGCCCTTACCTAACTTTATTATGAGTTTGAAAAATAAAGAGATCAACATTTCTCACTGTATAAAAATGCAAGATAGTTACTAAGTGCGTGACATTTTTTTATATAAAGCTTTCTAATCACATTTTTGAAGGTGTATCTATCCTCTTAAACATTTCCTGTTTCTGGAAACCAAATTATCAAACTCAAGGAGAAGTTAGAAACTGGCCTCTAAGGAAAGTTATGCAAGAAATTACTCAACTATTGTTCTATTTAAATGTGCTCTGCCCCATGTGATATAGATACAATGCAAGAAATTTTATTGACGTTAATTTGACATAATCAAAAATCACTTAAACATAGAACAGAGAATTGTAGTTGAATTTTTCAGCTATTCAAACTGACAGCACTGTTACCTATTATGCTCTTTAATTTCTGATTTTTTCCCCAAGATTTCTCATGAAATAAATAGACTCATTTTATGTCTACAATGATATTGGAATTTTTTAAAAAATTAAAAAAAAAAAGCCAATGGCTTAGGATACTACTATATCTACTTCATTTTAAAGGAAAAAATCATAGCTATAGGCAGATCTATACCTAAAATCCCCTCTATACTTACCATGATTGTTCTTGTTGTATGGCTGGATGATTCTGGAAAATAAAAGAACCACAGCACATTAGAATGTTTTCTTTATCCACAAAAGCCCTATGTTCTGATGCTCACCCTGAAGGCTAAGATGCTACTGCTCAGCTACAGCAATGAACACATCAAAAATGCAGAGACTGGAAAGATTTCTCATGAAATGAGCATGAGACTCATCATTGGTCCTGAATATATATGGCATGCTATATTATGCTGTTAACTGCACTCGTTCTCTCTGCTTAATTATCCTCTTCTGCAAGAAAATATAAAAATGAACTAATTCATAATTCACGTTTGAAGAAGTGAGGTTTTTTTTCATTTTGCTTTCAACATATGGCATCATGAGGGGTTAGCTCTGCAGACAAAAACACAGATAGTATCAACATAATTCCATTACTGTTCCCATAAAAAAAAAAGTTTTTATAAAACTAGGAAACTCTTTTTCTGACAATTTTGAGGTGGATGCTCAGTTTGAAACTGACAAAGCTTTTTGAGAAACGCAACATGCACAAAAGTTAATGATTGTCTCCCATATGATAAATCAGGAGCCAATCAACTGAGCTCATGGTTATATTTATACAAATTGCAGAGCAATCACTACTAGGCCAATAATTAACACAGATTTCACCTTGCTGTTTAACTCAGATTACTTTTGCTTTTTACTTTCCCTAAGAACATAAATCACATTCTCTTTGGCTTAAAATGTTACAGTTCACATATTAGAGACCTTGTTCTTTTTCAAAGCAGTGAAACTTCAATAACAAAGCATAAGTAGTTAAAAAACCCACAAGGAAACCCACTGCTGGTCTATAAGATGAAAGATGATACTACCACCAGTCTCACAGACTTGCTCAAAAATTTGGATAGGACACCTTGTTGGCTATAGAGAGTCCTTAAGGAAGGGACATTCATCAAAACCACATGTTTTTATAAAATGTACACAAGTCTGAATGAATTCAAACAGCAGAGTCTCTGCAGAGTTCTGCAAGCAAGATAAATTCTAAATAATTACTTTTTTTTAAATTCTTGTCTTAGTTCCAAATTGCAAGTTACAGGGCTTCTGATTAGTATCACTTACACAAAGAATTCTTGAGAGAATTTATTATTGTTTAAAATTGCATTAAAGAGATTAAAAGGACATGAGAACAGCTGCATATATCTCTCTCAAAAATAAAAAAAGTAATTACACCCTTAAAGTGGCATTTCCCTTTCATTTTGAGGAATCACCTTAGTCTGAAGGTATAGTTCAATCACTGATAGAAAAAAGGTAAACCATTTTAAACATCTCAAACTATTTTTAAACTCCAACATTCAACAGAAATTCCAGTATATAGTTTACATTTACATTTGTACAAGTCTTCATCCTTAGTCAGTTTTAAATAAGAAATATTTATATCACTAAGGTCACAGTGACAGTACTGTAATGTGAATACCTACCGAAAGCCAGCAATATCTCAGTTGTAAGCTCCTCTACCAGCCCTCTTTTCCCCTCTTTTTTCATGTAAAAGTTATTACTTATAAATACACATTTAGGTCACTAGTCCTCAAGGCAATTTTTAAACTGGTAGTATAAGAGCTAAATATTGTGATAATCTACTGTTTCCTGATACTTGAACATATTTGGCACTATTAGAGAGTAAGAGAAGATCACAGTAGAGGGAAGAACTCTGTAATCTGTTAAATTTTTTTCTTCACAGTAATTTTTGTTATTAAAACATTTTTTTTTTTGGCATGGCAGTAAAAAAACATTTCAGGACCTGAATATTCCTGGGAAAACACAGAGACTGCATTAATCAAATAATAAATGAGACTAATATTCATTACATTTATAAGCATAAATATTCAGAAAAAAAACCCCACCCAACCATCTTATCTCCAACATCCAACCACCTTATCTCCAAGAGCACAACATTTCCTGAAGAATCCCGAACGTAGGCAGAATTATCCACAAAGTTAAACACAAAGAATGGGGCTTCTTGTCTCTTGAAATAGAGGAGAGATGCATTACAGAGTGCTTTCAGTCACTCCCAAAATGATCAAAGCCCACAAACAAAAATCCACTTTTTTATACAGAGATACTTGAAGCCTTCCCTCTTACTCAGAGGTGCTGTGCTGTTGGCATAGCTCTATATGCCAAATCTATAAAAACTGTGCTTAGCCATGATTGTCCCAAAACACACAGACATGCTCTCACTCAGTTGTCTGTGAAACTGAGAAGATCTCCCTAAAATGAGCTGAGGAACAACTGAATTTTCCTGGAAATTGTTAAACAGTGTATTTTTGACAAGAACCTGACAGACGCTGTTAATGCAGTGCCAGCAGCTGTTAACTCCAGGATATTACCATATTGATAATCTAATAATAAAACCCAGCAAAGGAGTGAAAAAAGATGTTATATTTGTAAATATGCCTGTTATATCGTGCAATAGACTCATTCTCTTTTTTTGCATGTATTTTCCTTGCTGTAGATACTGAAATATCATCTAAGTTGCCAAACAGCAGAGACTTGACTATATCCATAAATACAAAGGTATTTATGGATAATAGGAAAAGAACTCTTTAATAAGCAGATAGAGTAAAACGATTCTAGGATTAACAAAGACTACTAATTATGGTGCCATTGTTACACAATTTAAACTCTTATATACTCTGATACACAAATATTCAGACTTTAGAACTGAGCAGACACCAATTTCTTCCAGAAAAAAATTATACCCTGACTTGGCCGGTTCTGAAAAACACTTATGCATGGACACATCAGCCAATTTTGTGGAACACTTTTAACTAAGGCAACAAAGGAAGGAAGTCCTTGCTTAAAAAGGCAGTCACACAGCATTAGAAACCTTTACATAGGGTCTGCACATTAATGCAAACTCCAGTGCAGCTCAAGGGCATCAGATATTATTTAAAAACTACAAAATTCTTGGTGTTGAACAGAACAGAAGGCAGAGCTTTGGATTTTCATTTTCATCTGCCAAGTTCTACAATGCTTTAGGGAATTGACATAATCTGGCTTGAATTTTAGGGAAACTGGCACGAGTGGACACTCGGTTTATAAGTGAGTTCTTCCAGCAAGAACTGTGATCTGTACTTGCACCCCTTCAGTAGGAAGGGAATTCCAGAATGGAGACTGGTTCTCCCCTTAAGGGCAGTGAGTGCCAGGGAAGTGGATTGCTCATTTTGCAAAAAAACTCTACAAAAAAACACACCAAATATCACAGATCAGACACAGGATCTTTCCAGATCCACTGCCTAAGCACTTCGCAAAGATGCCTTCCCTATCGCATTATGTACTAAAATTGTTAGGAACTATTGCTCTGCAGTCACAGCAGAAAAAAATAATCAACCTACTTGCCAGTAATCATACACAGAAGCATTGTGAATATGAACTCCAGATCTTGAATCAGAACCCATAATTCAGGAGGTAATATGCTGCTAATCCTGTTATCAAACAAACAGGATTCTCTTTCTGCAACTGTAATTCTTTAAAATAATACTAGGGGAAAGTAGTGATTCTAGGAATTAAGCTCTGGCTATTTGCATTGTGGTTTAAATGTTAACTTAATTACAGCATTGTTTCCTGTTTGAAGAGCTGATTCATTCTGCCAATTAGGAAATCCAATGTTACTGCAGCTTCATATCTACACAATACCTGTATATTAAAACAAGAAACACTGACTCCACAGCAAAAATGGGGCATTTTACCATGAAGTGCCCTTCCCTCCACCTGGGATCCCACTTGCCTTGCTCCTTCTGATCCCTGCTGCCACCAGTGGTACCAGAAACACATGTGCACTGGTGAGTTCAGGGATGCAACACCCCAATTTTTCATAAGCATTCATTTCCTTGGCACAACAAAAGCAAAGTGATCTATGGCACACTCCAAGTAGTGCTTTAAAGCATGAATGTGACTCTAGATTTTTGGTTTTTTTGTGAATCAATTGTAGACAAAGAAGCCTTACAACCAAAGAGAGATTTTTGAAAGAAAGGAATAAGTGCCAAAGGAATCAATAATAGTGCTTTATTCAATTTCTAATGTACTTTCACCCTGGGAAATAATACACATTTCTCAAGACACAGTAAACCTGAGCATTTCAGTTGAATAGATATTGTATTTTGACTTTGGCATAACAAAAGTAATCACTGTCTGTATTTTAAAAAATACACAACATGCTTAGGAACAGTTCTTTGTCAAAGGAAATCCAAGGCAACCTGGGTTTGCAGAAATGCGTTTGCTCCTCCCAAGCACTCCTGTGGGCAAATTACACTGCTTACCTTTTCTCACTGAAAAATACCCTGCAGTTTAAGCAGACATCAGAGAATGGAAGACTGTCCTTTTATTTGTACTCAAAGGAGCTCAAATACTTGGAAGATAACTGTAATGTAAATTCAATGTACATGTGAGATAATGTACATTGTGAGACAAGAAATAATTTTCTCAATTTTAAGAAATTCTAGGGGGAAAAGGTATTTCTCTTCTCTCTTTTCAGACAAAAATATTTTCCTCCTACTTGGTTATTGTTCATGTTAAGTCACAACATCACTTGCATCGCTGGGTTTGGAGAAATGAAGACCAATGAGGGAAGTGGGGAATCATTAACTCACTGTTTTATAACAGAGAAATTTAAATAGGGAAAAAATTTTACTTGATACTTGCAAATATGAGATGCAGAAGCTTAGTTCTACAAATGATTGACAATGTCAGCAGCAACATCCTGGGGTAATTAAGGCCTGTGTCACTTTCCAGGCACATTATTTGGGCTCTGGAAGTTGTCAGTAGTTCATCATCTTCAGTATCACGATTTGTACCTCTGCAAAAACAAGTGAATTTACTAACCACAGAAATGTAAGCTTTAGAGCATTTTAGTTTCCTAATAAATATTTTAAATTACTGCTTCCAACTGCACAGTGAAAATAGAGAGAAATTGGCTGCTCTTGTGCAAGTTGCAAAATTTAAATGTAAAAAGGTTTTTAGGTCAATCTCTTGAGGGTCAGAGATGGTTTTAAC